AGGAGCAGGAGACGTTAATTTCCCACGCACGAGATTACTGTGTGATAGATGTCCTCCCCTGGGGTGGGATGGGTGGGTATTTCTTGCTAAGAATCATCACATAGATTGAGAGCAAGTATTAGGAAAGTAAATAAACTAAACATGTCCCATTTTGTAATCTTGGCAGATTGCAGAAACTACCTGAAGTGAGTCCAGAGCAAGTTCCTGAACAGATGATTCAACTTCTTGAAGAAGCAACTTGTGAAGATGATATTCATGATGTTGAATTTATGGTAAATGTTTTGTCCCTACCTTTGTGCAAACTTTGTATCACTGATTATTTAGTGAATGATTTTAAAAGTTGATCTTCCAAATGTAGATATAATGAAAGGACTGTTTGAAATAATAGTGTGCTCAGAGGAACAGGTAATGTCCAAGGACAAATGTACAAGCATATTGTATTTATATTCTTCAATGATTTTTGCTTTGCGTGGGAAGAAAGGTTTAGGGACAGCTTTCTATCAAAAAGTTTACTTTATGAACAAACAAACATGTTCCTGCTTATGTAACAACTATAGCCAAATGCCCTCTCACCTTGAAATGAATTTTAAAGGAAGAATTGTTGTAGAGAATGTGAAGTTTGAAAATCACTTGAAATATTTTATGGATTGTAAGAAATGAAATTTGTTTATTTGCTATCTAATCATTAGGTAAAAGGACAAAGAGTTCCAGTGCATGGATTTGTGTTAGCATCACGAAGTCTCAGGTGCCACCAACTGATATGTGAAAACAAAGAAAACCACCCACAAGCTAGTGACAAATTGACACAAACCATAGCACTCCATGAAGGTGTTGCCTATGACAGGGTTGTCAGCTGGCTGAAAAAACTCTATGGTGGATTTGATATTGGTGACAAAGAAATATTTCAACTTGAAGTCTCTGTGACTAAAGGCAAAAACGGTTTCAGTGGTATTTCCAAAACCATGCATGAAGAGAAAGTTTCAGGGAAAAAGGAGAAAAAAGAAGCAAAAGGCAAGAGAGGTGAAGTGGAAAAACATGGTGGAAAGAGCTTTATTGACAATAATTTATTGTCAGATTTGGCTTTCCTTTCAACCAGAGACTTAGATGATTTTTCTGCACCTGGTGTTGATTTGGATGATATGTTATTCAATTCTTGTGAATCTTTGGAAAGAAGTGTTCAGAATTCTGATGTAGCAGGAAAGAAACCTGAGAAGACCTATCAACTGATCACCACAAGGTTAATTTTCTTAGCCTTGTACATATCATGCACTCCCCTTCATGTATTTTAATAACAATTAAATTTCATGTTTACTATTTGATATTTGGTTTCTGTTTAATTAGGAAAGGAATCAAGGGCAATATTTCCAGATCGTGCAACACATCGCTGATGTTCTCAAGATTAAATTGGTATGAGAAGAAAATGACTTAAGAGTTACACTGTAGTGTGCAGGTTATGTTTTTATAGTACTGGTTGCCCTTTAAATATGGTACAAATATGGGTGGGTTAAACTGTACATTGACTTTAAGGACCTATTGTATATATGTACTTATTAAAAACTGGATCATTGGATAATGCAATTCAAGACTTTTTATTGGCTTAGCCATTATGTTATATGAGCCAATATACCATAATCTAATATCTGTACATTGTAACATCCGGTTTCTTCTTACAAAATAAAGTCGAGAAGATTTGTCTAATATCTTGGGGGCGCTTTTTTTTTAATAAAACAATTATTCCGCTCGCGCTTGTTGGCTATCTATCATCTCATATCCAACGCGCGTTTGTGGAATAATTGTTAATTGTACTGGACATCATCCATCGAGGGAGTTTGTTTGTTTACCAGAAACTATATTTTACTGTTTTTCATGTCTTCTATCTGTCTTGCTCATTTTTCGTTTGTTTGATGTCTTAGCCCAGAGCTTCATGATGTTACACTTGTATCAGAGGAAGGAACAGAACTTAGGTGTCACAAATGTATACTTGTGGCTCGTCTTGGTATGTACGAGAACCTTACAATCTTTGAAAAAATTCGCTTTGCTATTTTGTTGAACTATTTGCCTCAACTACTTGTTTCTAAGCTTCATGTAACATGTTTTGATATGCATGTCCATGCAGGGCAGTAGATTTGGAAGATCCAGTGATTTTAATGGCTAGTTGCTGGAATCTGGATAAAATAGTCTGGGTTTTTAAGCGTGGTTGTGTAACTGTGTTGTGTATTTTGGTAGAGCATGGTTTGGAGATGGATTGTTCTCTAGGTTAACGACACCAAGTAAACTCTCAACTGTAAACTAACGAATGGATGATATGTTTGTCTGCTTGTTTGTTTTTCGTTTTTACTTCGGGGAGGACGATATACAAGTGTATTTAAGTTGAATGTACAGCTGTAAGTACAGTCCACTTCAGAATACCTGAGGGTTTTTCTGAGTAATAATAGTGTTCACCACCCTTTGATTGTTGCAGAGTACTTTCGCAGCATGTTGACATCGAGCTGGAGGGAGGTAGGTATAAGTTGATGATTTACTTTTTACTATTTTTGACGTTTATTTTTTGTGTTGTTGTTGTTGTGGCTTTTTCAGCTTTTGTAGACCCTACATTGTACATTACTTCTTAACCCGTTTATTTGCAGTCCAGTGGACAATCCCGAACCCTCAAGATGCCTTTCCCAGCGTTAATTCTGGAGATTGTTTTGGATTTCCTGTACTCAGGGCGAGCAGGAAGATTAACAGGTATCAATACTCTATTCTACAATAGGATTTCATTTTTCGCTCATAGTTTGGTAGCTTCAAGAAGACTCGCTCAGGACGAAGTAATCTTGGGGTGTTTAAAAACTAACTATACTTCGAAAAGGTAGAGTCGTGCTTTACGATGGTTTGTTTAGGGCTGCCTTGGCTAAGACCATGTGGAACAGTTATTGACGACGCTTTTTAATTAGTCCTGTAAAAATTCGTGCACATTTAAGCCAATCAGATAACTGAGACCAATTGTCACTTGGAGACTATGGAAACTCAATATGTTTTCTGCCTTTTTGGCGGTAAGCGTGTTGTTTCTTTGAATTCTCGTTAACTCATGTTGTATTTCCCTCTGCTATACTGGTTTTGTAAACCTCAAAAAAATAAAAAATCGCTTTATATCTTTTTGTAGATATTACAGATCTGGAGTTATTGGGAAACATTCTCATTGTAGCAGATCAGGTATGGTATACTTTAAACTTCCAGGATTGTTCATTATTTTTCAGTCTTTGTCTTGTCAAACTAAGTTGCTATGTTTTCTTCATGAAGAATTGTTTGTTTAGTATCAAGATCAGAATCGGCTGATTGAATAATTTGTTATCAAAATTTCATTACTTAGTTGCTGATCTGGCGTCTGAGAGAGATGTGCGAGGCTGTCATAGCAAATCTTGGTGAGAATTTTCGTAATTATTTCTTCGTCTCATTGAGTTTAAAATGCACGTTGTGAGCTTTTTGAAACACTCAAGATAAAATTAATGTTATAGGTATTGATAATATTGCTATTTGTGTCCGCTGAAATGTGATAAATCAAGTGCTATTTACGTCCTTTTTGATGAATAATTGTCGATTAACGTGGGTTTAATTTTTTTTCAGTGACTTTAAGGAACGTTTCTGAAGTGTTGGAATTCTCGATTCTCTACAACGCTAACCAGCTTCGAGATGTTTGCTCAGAGTACATTTGCAATAATTTGGGAAGTTTGATGGAATCCAGGTTAGTATTTCGCAAAACTTATAGTATCTTCTGGGTTAAAGTTGGCCTTTTACGCCTTTAATCTTAGTGGTTAATTGTAGAGTAGGACTAGTTTCTACTTCACTCGATCTTTCATAGTCTCGTTTCGCAGTTAATCATAAAGCTGTTTTGCTGTTATAGTTTTAGAAGTTTAGTGACTAACTCTTAACCCTTTACACCCCACACTGTTCCTTTTATATTTCCTGTTGTACTATCAGGGAGAATTATACACCATTCCCACGAGAAAAAACATGTGTAGTTAAACCAGGTTTAACTGAATGAATATCAGAAACAGAACTGATAAAACTGAATTTTCCACAGTATTCAAGTCGTCACTAACTTGTATTTGCTAAATTTGAAGTCGACAAACATCAGTTTACTGTAGGAAGCTTCTATGAGAGAAAACATTTAAACTGTTTCTAACTTAACTGCCCTAAGACGTGTTTAAGCTTTGGTGTGAATAGGGTATTAGTCTAAGAATCAAGAGCTTCAGTCGGAGATCGTTTCGTTTACCCTCGTGACCTTCATTTTTAATTCAGTCTTGCTGATTGGCAGCGCAGAGGTAAACCGACCGACAGACTTGCTATTCAGAAAGGGTCTAAGGAGAGACCGGTAAAAAGACAGACAGAATACTGACGAACGGAAGGGGGGGGCAGAAAAGTCTGTTGTTATTCTAGGCCAAAATACAGTAGAACCCCGCCAACTCGAACTCCCAAGGGAAACAAAAAATAGTTCGAGTTAGCTGATAAAAAATGACTGAAAAATTGGGGTTAAGGGTAATCGAATCTTGTTAGAGTTAATGGGGGGTTGGAGATGACCGAGTTCGAGTTAGCCGAGTTCTACTGTTACTATATACATCCATCCTTAGATTGTGATTACTCATAATTTTGTGGGGCATGCCACAAGGGCTGCGTGTAGATGTAGATTGTAATGCCAATTGATATTGTGATCTCCAGAGCTCTGGATTGTCTCAGTGATGAAGCACTTGTAGTGATCTCTAAAGTCTATCGCAATATGGTAAGACTAATTTTTTTAATTCATATTAAATGTTCCACTTCGCCCTTTTTATAAATGTCTTATAAAGCTGAGGAATAGAATGGCACGAAGTGTGAACCACGATACTTTTAAATGAATCTACGTCCCGGTTAAGCGAGTACTGCTGTATGGGAGGTCTTTTCATACTCATACTCATACATCTTTATTTAACGAGGGTAACATATTAACTTTACACAAGTTTTCTAACATATGGCCTTCGACTTCCCACCCATCCCACCCCAGGGGAGGACATCCATCACACAGTAATCTCGTGTGTGGGAAATTAACGTCTCCTACCCCAACCCTGCAGGAGACGGGACCTCCATTTATTCGTCCCTATCCGAGAAGACTAGAATATCTAACCATTTCTTGATGTTATAGAAAGGTAGCAAATTCTTCTCAATTATTTTGAGACTTTGAGTGTTGGTCCGGCCAGGGCTCGAACCCTCGACCTTCCGCACAACAGTCCAGCGCACTATCCATTGGGCTATGTGGGCGGCGGTCACTGAGGAGAAAGTTCTGTCTTTGCAATGGCATTAGCAAATGTGTTGACGTTTTAGTCTTCTCTTTTAGGGACTAAGAGACTATAACAAGAAAAAAAGAAAACATCCATGCACTTATAGCAAACGGGAGGTTACAAAGCTCCCGGTGTTGGTGTGTGGTCTTTCAGTGTGTCTCAACACATTACGGAATGATTTCAATTTGCCTATAGAAACTAACAAAACTTCTTGTGTTTCAGGTTCCAGGAATGGCTTGGCGCATTATAACACCGCTAGACCTTCACTGTTCTTTTCTTCTTGATACTGGCTCTGAGCCAAAATGTAGTCCTGGAAAGCGAAGAAGAAGCAGTGGACGCAAGAAGTCATCTAGGAGTGAAAGCGAACAAGATGCGGTTGTTCATTCTGAGACTGCACAAGAAGGAAGCGAAGCTGAGAATGGTTAGCCGTAGTATTGATTTAATTTTTGTTGTCATGGATAAGATCCAGACAGAGTCGTGATATAGCTTTGGCGCTTATGTCATCAAAAATTTGTTCATGTAATTCAGAAAATGGTTTGTACCTGGGGGTAACTGGAACCTGGGAAGTCGTCGGGTTTCGCAAATCACACGAAAAGCGATACATGTTATGAAACATATTTTGTACGGTTGTGTGTGAGCCCAATCCAGTTGAATGAGAAGGAAATATTAATGGCTGCAGTTACTCGCCTACACTTACCTAATCAGGCTGGGGTAACAAATTACTGCAACATGCTCTCCCACTCTCTCACAAGAAAACCTTTTGCGCAGTTTACAGAGTAAATGTCCCGGAATTGGAAGAGGTGTTCGCACAACAAAATGGTGGCGAATACAAGACTGATACAGAAGGTAAAAATGGCGAGGGTGATGCTTGTTTGGATCTTCCGAAAGCAGATGAAGAGGAAACATCATTGGAGCGAGAGGTACCTAACCGACTTTTTCTTTTCCGAGATGCCCCAAGCCTATGTTTTAAAACGAAAGTAATTGTAAAGCCTTTAATATGAAAAGGAGTCTTTATTCTCGTGAAAATAGAACCCATTTTTGAAGGAAAGGTCTTGCCCTTGGCCTTATTTTGAAACTTCACCGTGAGGATTCCTAAACAAGGCATGGCCCATACATTTGTAAGTGATAGCAACGATACCAAATAAATTGATTTTATAGAGGGCCTGATGCTGAAATGGTACCGTCGTTTCGAAGGAGTAAACGTGTACGGTTGTACCAGTACAACCCTTTTTCCAATGCACTGCCATCAAACAACTCACTGTCTAGTGTTGATTATTTTTCCAAGCCGGTGGATGTTGGAATGTGGTATCGTAAACTCTCACCGGATGCTACCAAGACACCAAAGAAGAAAAGCCGTGACAGAAAGAAACCTGGTGGAAAATCCGCAGATGATTCAGACGGTAAACCAACAACTCAGAAGGACGAGGTTGCTGCAAAGAAGGTAAGTATTAAGAGCTTGTGAATTTATAATAGACAGATTGTGAACATTCTTATTGTTAAGTTAGTCGGGTGGGTACAAGAGTTTATTTAAATGTATTATAAATTGAGAAAAGGGTGATCTTTAAAAAAGGTTTTTACTTCTTCCCGTAGGCTCTATCACTAGAAAAACCGGCATGGAGTAATCAGAGGTACATCATGCTAAAATTTTTTTTGCCACCTTATTTCTTCGTTACTTGAGTGCTGACAATACTGTGAGCAATTTCATCGCAAGAGGAAATTTTTATCTGTGAATTAACGATAACAAAACAATAACAGCGTAGGTCACGTGGTGATTATGAGTCGACTTCGCTTAAGTTGCTCGAGCTTCGAGTTTTAAGTGCCAAAGGAATTAGACATGTCACTGATATTGCTCTATCGTTACACAAAAGTAGTGAAATAGCTGTTGAAATTGCGTTGTTGATCTCTTTAAACATGACTAGCGCATGCAGTCCCCCCGCATCTAGCCTTAAAGATATCATGGAACAGGAACAGAAGAAGAAATCTTCCGATGTTCGCAGTGCAAGCGAGGTAGGCACGTCATTATTACCAAAATATGCTTTCACAGCTTTCACTGTTTTGTCTCTCTCTCTCTCTCTCTCTCTCTCTCTTTTTTTTCATAAATTATTATCATCATTAACCCTTGAACCTTAAAGAGTGACTAGCAGCTAATTTCTCCCAACAGTGTCACTGCTAAATCAGATATAAGGTCATGCGAATAAAAGAAATGATCGTCAACTAAAGAAGCTCTTCATTGTTAAATAAATTCTCCTTGTCAGCACCATAGGGAGTATATAGAGAACAGTATGGAGAATATGTACACTATCAGTTGATCGTTTCGACCGCTTTACTGCTTTTCTTCGTTCATAATTTTGCCTGGCAAAGGCTAGCGGTACAGCAGTTGAAGCGTCGTATTCATTAATTGATTACCTGACTCTGAAGTTGTTGTCGACTCTACATCGTGAGACGAAAGGTTGAGCCTTCACCGATATTCATAACCACGAAAACCAGTCTTCTTTTAGTAATGCTTCTTTCCGAAATACCAAGTGGTAGCGTTTGTTCTGTCGCAATTTGTAAAAGTGTAATGGTCAGTTATTTCAAACTGCAACATACATACATACATACATACATCCTTTATTTGGTAAAGCAGGTTGAGGAAATGGCAGCTAATGCTGATGTGAACCTGCTATCTACTAATAAACAGCTAAAAATATATACGTCTCCTAGTATGAATAATCATACGTATCAATAATACATTATATATACGGGTAGGATAAGTAAGTAAATATATATATATATTAGTATCAGTCAAATTAACTCAAAGTGCAACAGCTCTTTTATTACAAAGTGCGACAGGTATTGCAAAGCTCAACAGAACAGTTGAATAAAGGCTGACAGAACAGTGTTCGTTGTGATTCTTGTAAGGGGAAATGGGGGAATTCACTTGTAAAGCCAGTTTTTTTCTTTCTTTTCTTTTTTTATTTTTTCGCCAATAGGTACTGATATCACCATCAAAAGGGAAAAGGTAGGGAATGCTATTAAGCTAAAACAATCAAATGAAAATAAATCTTACTTTGACTTGCGGAAAATGTACAGGTTAGGACCTGCCTCCTGTAAGTGAGCTGCAATTAAAGAAATTACAGAAAATAAGCCTGAAGACATTCAGATTCCGACAGGATTCGAACCTGTGCTTCCAGTATAAGTTGGGTGCCACTACCGACTAAACTACGACTTCATATTTTGCGGTAAGCAATGGATATCAAACTGGCCACTAGGTAAATCTCTATCCGGTGGATAGCGTAGTACGTTTTGTTAACGCTCATCCGTTGGATAGCGTTTTATCCGTTCGATAATGTTATGTACCCTTTGAACAACGGGAGCCAGATTTTTGTATTACAGAGGCAACGTTGGGTGACTTTTAGTCTTGTTACTAGTCCACAGTCCCCATCGACTCGGTGGAATTCTTCCGGGCGACAATCACAGAAGCAGAGGAAGAGATTAAAATCTAACTCCATAGACGATCAAAATGACCAAGTGACTGCGAGCAGTAAAAAGGAAGAAAAAGAAGTAGAGAGACCTCCAGCATGGTAAGGTGACACCTGATAACTTAACATCCGTCTTACTGATAGGATTCCGATGCGAATCAAATTGAACGTTTCAAAAAAGAAACACTTATAATCCCGTAATTCCAAGAGTGAACATGTAACTTCTAGCAGTTGAGGAACATCAAACAAAGAAATGATCCTCCAAGGTGGGCTGCAATTTTAGCAATTAAAGAAGAAGAAGAAGAAGCCTGAAAAAACAAAAAAAAATCAGACTTCGACGTGGATTGGAACCTGTGCCTAACAGGTACTTGTTGGGCACTGTTACGAGGCCACACTTTGGGAGCGAATCAAATTTAAGGGTGATCCTCTTTCCCGTAGAGAAATTTGATGAAAATCATCTATCAAAAAAGTGAAAAAGAGACAAATGTGAAGAAAGATGTTCTTCGTTCCGTCACGTCAAAGAAACTTGAAAAAGGTGTTCCCATAAGGAATCGAATCCCAGATCTTCGGATTCTGCGCACTGGTGCTATCTAGACAACCAAGTTTGTCAGCATAGGGAATGTTTTCTTGATAAAACCCGAAAATTACTTGCGATTTGCAAGGAAAGGCAATAAAATGAGGGTGAAAGGGTAAACAATGTGCTCTTGTTTAGTTAGAGAGCTTTTGCGATCTTCGTGGCCTGTAATCGCAGTTTGCCAATCCAATGCTCTTCACGATTTTTCTCAATTGCCTTTTACTTCAGGGGTGGGGTGATCAAGGATCCTTTGCCAGTCCAGTCCTTAAAGGATCTTATGCAGGAAGAAGAAAAGAAGAAAAACTTTCAAGACCCTACACCTTCACAAAAAATACCAATCGTACCAGGAAAGCCTGGATCTACAAGGAAAAAGCTAAAGTACGATACAACAATTCTTTTAAGTCCAGCATCGCGTTTATGTAGATAACGTAGAGTGAAAATTGATCATCTTGATAGAAGTTGACAGGCCCCCCTATGCTACTATTGACGCGTTTGAAAAATTATTTAACTACTTCTGGTTTTAATTGCTTTCACTTTCCATATTTTAGTTGGCGCCGGCAGCCTGGGTTTTACACGAACGGTTCAGAACCTAATGGGGAAGACGCTGTTCATTTAGCTTCAGGACAGGATTCGAACGTCCCACTGTCTCCACCTAAAAGGTGAGTTCAAACTTCTTCTGTTCACTCGTCTTGATGGTCATTGGCAGCAAAGCGCGAAACTTTCTCCTAAGTTTTTGTCATCAAATTGTTATTTTCATCATTGTAATGAGTTTTCTCGCCTTGCATACGTGGCTATTTGCACGGGAGTGAAAACTGCGTTGGTTTTAAACGTCAATAGCATATCAGAGTTCTTATCGCTGGTGCGTTTTGCTTGCCGCAGTGTTTGTTCTGATAGCTTGCTCTATACAGCCATTTACCTGTCTTCTCTCTTTGTTCTCCAGTGCCTGGCAGTCAAATCCTATCGCAAGTTCTCCGCCATTTACTTCAATCGCTTTCTCTACAATCCTCGAATGTGAGGAAAAGGAGAACACAAATCTAAACAGGTTTGGCTCTGTTTTTTCTTTGGATGCCGGATGCATTTTGTTTTCATGTTTTTTTTCGTTGTTGTTGTTGTTGTTGTTGTTCATTTATTTATTTGCCTGTTGATTGGTTATTTTATTGTTGCGCTTTTTTTGTTAATTAGAGTCTGTACGAAAGTAATTAGCACTCGATCAGATTTTCTTCCTTTCGTCTCCATTGTAGATTTAACAAGAAGCCATTTCACTTGACACAGGTAATCGGTTTTCTTTTTGTTTATCTTATTCTAGGGCATGACAATCTTTCTGCGTTCAAAACAACCATTTGCTACTCTTTTTTAACAAACCTAATTTGCAGTCAATTTGACTCTACTTGATCCAAAGCTCCCCTCCTTTTTTCGAGGCTTTCCGTTTCCTTTTATGTACATTTTTTTCTTACTGAACCTTTTTACAAGGTTGAACTTGATTTCACTTTTCTTAGCTTGAAGAGAGAGCCATGGAAGAACTGCTGCAGTATTATGGTGGCAAGGACAATGCCTGTGAGTTTGTGACCGTTGAGAGAATTCCATCGACTGCAGCGAAGCCTATATGGAGAAAGGAGAGATCGCCATCGGCCACAAGCAGTTAACGCTTGATACATAGCTACTGGATGATCGCGTTAGAGATGATGAAACACAAGCCTTCGATGAAGAGAGAATTTGATTGTGTGTAGTCTCGATAGAAGTAGAAACACGTGTGTTCTTTTCTAAGAATATCTGATTACGAAGACGTAACAAAACTGTTAATCAAAGCGTTAAAGAAAGGTACGTAACGCGTGACAATAGCGTGACTTAATAAATGGGCGTCAGCTACTGTGTATCACCTTAACATCCAAGAAGTTTTTGTCAGGGGAGATGGATTTCTCCTTTCCTTGCGAGGAAGAGATTTCTAGAGTTAGGCTGAATGGCCAAATCTGATTTGAATCTTTTCTCGCTGACTTTTATGTAGCGACAGAGAAAATTGTTGAAAGCGGTGATCGTCTTCCTTGTATCAGAAAAAGAAAAAACATTTACAGAAGCTTTTATAGCTAAACATACCCAAAGATTTGTCTAATATAAAAACAGTACATTNTATATATATATATATATATATATAACTGCAGACAGTGCACACTGTTTCGACCTATGTGGGTCTCATCAGTGCAGTGCAGACACTGGGCCAAGCTCTGGAATAAACCATTGCCTGGGCGCTACACTTGTGGGACCAAGTGCAGACATGTTGCCATGCGAGAGTGCTCAAATCACAACTAAGGTGATGAGCTTCGTATATATCGTGTGACCATCATGTTTTTGCTCGATGATTTAACGGGCCTCCGTTCGTTTTCTAGCTTTTGCCTTTTGCCTTATCCCAAAACCCCACCCCTACCCCTTCTCATGATAGCGGACAGAGCAAACCTACTTGTGAGAGGATAGGGTAGGGTTGAATTGGGGCCGGGATCCCCCGTCGCTGCAATGTACTCGAGTATTGTATGTTATTTCAGTGATCGCAGTCTAATGTTTATTGGTTGTCTTAGGTAGGTATAAGTGCGGAAACATGGTTAGTTCTACTAAAAGAAACGGCATCATTCTGATTGCCATTTCAATCTCTGTCGTCTTGGCGATTGTGATGGGGATATCTCACATGCAAAGTTCAACAGAATCATCCAAGGTTCCACGCCGAGCGGGTGAGTGTTGCACTATATATTCATGCGTGTTAAGCGCGCTAACGTATTGCATTGCTGCTGACACTTAGTCTCACTTTTATAACGACAAAATTGTCCTATCACAAAATGAAGTGTTCCTAATATTGATGAAAGGTGGAAATTGTTGACGCTGGTACTGTTTACTTCACATCAACTAAACACTTCTGAAAAGTTTGGAATATTCCCTCGTATTTTGGGTGTTGTTTGTATTTTACTTCAGACAACAAATGCCAATATCTGAGTTAATGTTCGACCCTAATATATACAGTAGATGGCAGTTGAACTTCTGTTCAGACATTGAAAGAAATCCCGCTTCCATAAGGCGCCTTCCCGACACGTATCCGGATATTTTTTAATCCGCAACTTTTTCTTTCCGGATACGGCTATCGTTCACACGTATCCGGCTAATTCGCAAGCAAATCCGGAGATCTTTTAATCCGATGATCTCCAGAGTAGAAATTTTTGAATCCGACGACATTTTGGATACGTGTGGATGGTCGAATCCGGATATTTTCTGATACGATGACCTCACAAAATTGGCGCCAGTGTTTACCGCTCAAAGTTAAATATGGCCGCCGATCAAAGGCAAATAGTGATTTACGAAGCGATCTAAAATATTGCCATATTTACTCTGGCACGACTCCCAGTAAATGTTCTCCATAGACTTTGCGGTTTTGTACTATATTGTCACGTTCAATAACAACTCTACCTCGTCGTCGCTCCATATGAAGGACTCTGGCTTGTTCCCCTCATTCTTCTTAGCCTTCTTGCCTGATTTCGACATGTTTTTAACTGTTTGAACTGGTGCACGTAAACTGAAACATCAAATTCCCGCGGCTGTTAAATGCCGCAGTATGGCAAGCCAATTGTAGCAATATTCAATGAATGGATTTTTCAATTCAAAGAGTCTAGTTTAGTTCAATTCAACGCGTAAATTTATGTTCAGCATACTATTTTTTGGGTTCAACGTCCCATATTGCATTCAATACACTTTGGTATCATTCAATGCGATTGCTTCGATTCAACCTCTTTTTTTATTTCAATTGCGCATATTACGTTCAACACTTTTTATTTCGTTCAATGCAATTTATTTTCGTCAATTATTTACTGCACAGCGATTGACCGAAAGAACTCTAGCTTCCCCAGTGTTCACTTCTCGCTTGTCTTCCTAGCCCGCCATTTTGAAGAAAACAACGAGTAGTTGTCAGGACAAATTAATGGATCGCTCATCTCCTTTGAAGTTGTCTTCTTGGCTTGGAGAAGCTTCAGAGCTTGTGAAAAAGATTTTAGACGAAGAGACTGTTAGCTCTGAGACATCCTGGCCTGAAACTTCAAGTTCTAGTGGAAACCGAGTGTTTTCAGCGTTGCAAATAGCGAGGTCAATGTTAAACTCATCACAATCAAGGTGTTAAATGGGGTTGACAGGGTTCAGCCAAGGTTCTAAGCAAGCTAATCGTTTGATCGACAACCGTCTGCGTTTGCAAGCTATCTGAGGAGCAGTTTTCATGTAAAGACTGTTCTGCTTTGTCCAGAACTGTATGAAGAAATGTTGATAGGTCCTCGTCAGCATTAAATTTGATTGTAAAGACATTACGATCGATCACGAAGCAAAAAATTAAAATGGCCTCTCAAAAAGTCAGTTCCAGCCTTTCGTGATCTGCCGAGATCAAAAGGGACTGGGCAATAATGGTCAACCGTTGAGCAGTAAATAATTGAACGAAAACAAATTGCATTGAACGAAATAAAAAGTGTTGAACGTAATATGCGCAATTGAAATGAAGAGAGAGGTTGAACCGAAGCAATCGCATTGAATGATACCAAAGTGTATTGAATGCAAAATGGGACGTTGAACCCAAAAAATAGTATCTGAACATAAATTTACGCGTTGAATTGAACTAAACTAGACCCTTTGAATTGAAAAATCCATTTATTGAATATTCCTACAATTGGCTTGCCTTACCGCAGCGCATGCTCCGCAACCAACATATATAGAGTCATCCTGGGTACTATAGTGAATCCGGAGTGAATCCGGATACGTGTGGACGGGCGAATTCGATTTGAATACGCTGTGATCACATAACGTGTGGACGCGGATATTTTCGTATCCGGAAAGAAAAAGTTGCGGATTCAAAAATATCCGGATACGTGTGGACGGGGCCCAAGTCTTCCTATTTTACTTAAAATGCAAAAAGGGTTTAAAAACAAGATATCGAATTTCGCCGCCTTTTAGATTTCATGGCCTTGCATTACATGCGATTCAGAAATGTTATTTCACGTGATTGACTGATGGCTGTCTTCACGTATTGTAACAGACAAAGCCGTCCGTTTCCCTTGACACTTATGTAACGCAACCTTAAATTTTATTCAAAATCAGAAGAAGACCGCTCGCTGACCGCTCGCGCTAAGATGTGTGATAAGTCCGAGTACATATAGGTTTTAACCATATTTTTTTTCAACAATGTTTGATTGTGGATTTTCTCGGACCTTGGCTTCATTTGGAAATATTTTGTTGTTAAAATAAAAGTTCCTTTGTATTCAAAGCACTCCACGAGAAGATGCCATTGATTCTTATTGGATATTCGTTTGCGTGCAGGTCGACCCGCAAGTCGTCTCCTTTGCAGTCGTTGTTTGGTCTCGTAACGCAACGCGCGTTCTCCCTCACTAAGAAAGTGTTTTGCGTGATGAAACCAATGAGACTAATTGTTGCAGAGAATACAACCTTCGTTACCAAGAGTATTCTGATATCAACCTATCTCTACATACAGACATCAGTATTCAATTTTTTTTTTTCGTTTTGTTACTACGTTCGTCGCTCCCTCCCCTCCCCCCATAAAACAAACTTTAGTTCTCGTCATACTCTCTAAGCTCGAGAATGAAGAAAGACGTTAAAAAAAGTAAAAATTGATAAAAATTAAACAGTGCCTAAAGGTCCCACTTGGGGAGAAATGTCATTTATTTTTCTCACCATGAAATGATGGAACAACGCTTTCCTGCAGGTGTGCCTATTTCTCTTCCTCCGAAACAGACAAAGAATCAGTGGTTCAAAGATGGCGTGAAACTCGTCAGAGACAATCTTAATAGGCAACCGCTAACTCATACAGCTAAAAACACGATATTGTTCCTCGGCGACGGGATGGGTGTAACTACCACCACTGCAGCACGTATTCTGGCTGGTCAAATGTTAAACCAGTCTGGCGAAGAATATGTCCTTAGTTGGGAAAAATTTCCGTGGTCTGCTCTGTCCAAAACATACAATGTGGACCAACAGGTCCCAGACTCCGCTGGAACAGGAACGGCCTTTTTGAATGGCGTGAAGACTAATGCTGGTAAGTCAAAAAGAGACAATGACTGTCTCGTACCCACACCTCTCTCTCTTGAGAAACTCTTACATATAGGGGAATCCTTGTTTACAATATTTGCCTCATTAGCATAAGCAATTCAGTTTCTGATGGAGCTAAATATAAATCAGTTCTGAATATCGAAAGGTCAAAGTACGATTAACTCGGCCAATGAGTACGAGCCTGATGCATTGAATACTTTTTGTGCAACACGGGTTAAAAAACTCAAAATTTTACGTAGAATGTATGAGCTCATTAGCGCTTTTGCCACCCAAAAATTTTGTAGCTTTTGATGGACTATTTCTCCTTGAATATTACACCCAAAGAGCTAAACATTTCACCATGCACTAAGGTTTTCTAGCTCTTTAGCTGACTGAAGTCAATTTGTATCTAACATGCCTCCTTCTTTACGCAAAGCCGTATGCAAATGAGAAAAAATGTAAACAATGACGTCAGCATGAATCCGCCTATATGCATCTCTAGTTTGGATATCTTGCGAATTTTCACTAAGCTAGCTGAGCAAATGTAGCTTCAGATCTGGAACAATTTCAAGCATTGATACGGTTAGAGATGTATTGTATCCCCCCTTATACAAACTTCTGTGAAAAAAGACACTTTCGCAATTTCATTACGTGAGATACCTGAGGCAGACCACGTTAAAAATCCCCGCAGTCTTCGTAGTAAAATATGGAAATTAGCCACTCGCTTGTTAACAACTTGCTTCTGCTGCTCACTGAAGTTAGGCCCTGTTGGCTGAGGTTACTTCTTGGATGGATGGCCGCTCAATGTCTTTATTTTTCGATTTCATTCCTTTACTGCGAAGAGTCAAAGTTAAATTCGTAATTTTCCACATGAAACCAAAGTGACTGTAGGTAGACTAGATAACGGCCAACGTTTTCCACGTTAACGCCTCCAGGTGTCTTGTCTCTCCGATTTGATGGACGGCGTTGACGTGCAAGTTTCAGAACAGTGGACCAAATACGTTCTTGTAATAAAGATTTTAGTTGGATAAATATAACGTCTTTATAGGACCTTTTACAAGATACAATATTGTTTATAATGACTCATCGATGTTTTCTGCACCACTTTTCATTTTATAAATCAGGCGTAATCGGTGTAGACGAGGCTGTAAAGCGAGGATTCTGTCAAAGTTTCAATGAAAGCAACAAAGTCCTGTCAATACTAACATTGGCAGAAATGGCGGGAATGTCAACTGGTATCGTGACGACAACGCGTGTCACGCACGCAACACCAGCCTGTCTATACGCACATTCACCGGAGAGGGGGTGGGAGAGTGACCGCGACCTGAAGAGTGGAGCGAAGGATAACACCTCTAACTGCACAGACATAGGTCTGTAATGCATGCAAAGTAAATGGGTGAATTTTCTTCTGGGTCCCAGCAGATTTTAAAGTTATAATAACCATTGTTTGTCTCACTATGGAGGTGATTTGCGATTTGAAAAACGATGCGAAGATTGACATATACCGCGCCATGCAAAGATTCTTGCGGAAAAAAATCTTATAAGTTAGTCAATAAAAAATTCATCACTCATAATTCGATTTTTCTATGGGCAATCGGTTTGTTTACTTGTTTTTTTTTTTTATAATTTAATCTTATTTGATTTTATCTTAGAGTATTTTTGTTTTTTTGTTTTGTTTTGTTTTTTTTTGCGGAAATCCGTGTGGGAAAATAAAGTTGTTTCTCGGTGAAAATGCACGAACGTTAGCACAGTTTGAATATACTGTTACACTGAAGTTTTTCCAAGGACCTCGAGTTCTGCTCCCGCTCGAAGGTTCTGTTCTCATATTTACAACAGCTTTACAACTCATTGAGTACCCATTTGGCGATGGAATTGAAGTCATCTTCGCTGGAGGTCGTAGGGAGCTTATTCCCAACAACGAGACCGACCCTGAATACCCGGATTTAAAAGGAGAGAGGTTAGACGGCCGAAACCTAATTCAAGAGTGGGTGGATAAGTTTCCGAATTCTCAATACGTTTGGAACAAAACCGGTTTTGACCACATTGACGTCAGCAAGGTTGATCACGTGATGGGTAGGTTATCGTAAAATTTGTAGGGTGAATTTCTGTCACTATGACTACTCATGTGATTAAGAGATTGATTGATTGATTGATTGATCATCTGACAGACTAACTGCAGCTGATTGATTGATTGATCATCTGACAGACTAACTGCAGCTGATTGATTGATTGATCATCTGACAGACTAAGTGCAGCTGATTGATTGATTGATTATCCGACAGACTAACTGCAGCTGATTGATTGATTGATCATCTGACAGACTAACTGCAGCTGATTGATTGATTGATTATCTGACAGACTAACTGCAGCTGATTGATTGATTGCTTGATTACTTAATTGGTTGAATGATTTATTAATTACTTGATTGACGGATTGAATGACTAATTGATTGATAGATTGTTTAAAGGAATCAGTTTTCCACTGTCTTTTATGCGGGGATAAACCGAACAGATCCAACTGAACATTACTTTATGGCATAACTGCACTGCCAAATAGATGTTACAAACCACGAAAGAAATGAACGATCAGAGTTTACAGTCTTCTTGCTGATGTGTCTAATAAATGATGCTTGTATAATTGATCAGGTCTGTTTGAGTACAGCCATATGCAATATGAAGTGTTTAGGAAGGAGAATGAAACAGAGCCATCCATCGAAGAGATGACAGAGAAAGCCATAAGTATATTGAAGAAAAATCCAAAGGGATATTTTCTCCTGGTAGAAGGTGTGTTAGAGAACTGTAGCAACTAGTTCGGAAAATTATTACTATTTGGCTAAGAGGGAGGGCAATAAGCTGCAAATTTTAAAAGGGAGTATAACAGGCTTTCAACTACATGCATAAAACTTCTAACAAAAAAGATATTTATGACAGTATAGCCATTTTGCAAAGCTATTTCATAGCATTATCATTTTACCTCTTTTATTGTTATGATATTTTATTCAAAGGGAGGAGGTAGGACCATATTTTTTCTGTGAGGGGTTCTCGTCAGAAATTTGAAGCATTAAGCAATGGACTACCTTTAGAGGGCAGCTTATTGGAAACGGATGCTCTAATGGGGGTCCAAATTAGAGAGGGGCACTTACTGACGCGTTTACAGGGAGTCCAAATTAGAAAGGGACGCTTATTTAGGGGTTCTCAAATTAAAGAGGGGCGCTTATTGAAGCATTTAAAGTAAGCCATGTAGTTCCCATTGAATCCTTTATCGTGCATATCGGAAAGGTATTTTTTTTTTCCTTCCTCTTTTTTTCTTCATTCCAGGCGGCCGCATTGACCACGGGCACCATGGTACAAAGGCAGTACGTGCTCTGAATGATGCTGTTGCTATGGCAAAGGCTTGTGGGAAGGCGTCAGAAATGACCAATCGTGGTAAATAACAGCTATCCTAAATCCCAGAAGCTGATACAATAGCTGACGCCAAAAAAAAAACCTGATTGTTTCTTTACTACATCGTGATGGTTCAGATTAAAGTGGAGTCTTTCATCGTTCTATAATTAAGCTTGGATTGCTATAAGTTGTTTCGCTTGAATAACACTAGAATAACAGCAGCATACACGTGTTTTACACTAAATAAACTTGGATTGAGTTCTGTGTAGTTCGGTGATAGAGAACCAGACCCTATCCAAAGATCGTTGGTTAGTTTTCGATGCTTGTACTTATTGACGACACTATGCTTTACTTCTTATACCACGCACCTGACATTTCCCTGTTTCTGTTGAGTGGGGTAGTCTATGGTTCTGTGTTAACTTAAGGTTAAAACGATATTCTTTAGAGAAAATTGCTTTAATTGGTAGGGAAATCAAGCAGTCTTAGTTCTGTTAATGCTGCGTGTAAACGGTTTTTCGTAAATAAATAAAACAAAAACAAAAAACCAAAGTAATCTCATTGGCCATTCAAAACAATGCAGATTATCAAAAGGCGCCAAAGAGAACAAAAAGGAATAACAAGCAACCCGCCTGAAGCGAGGAAAAACAGAAATGATCGAGAGCTGAATAGTTTTAGTTTCGCATCTGAATCGTGATGATAAGGCAGCTGTATTTTTAAACCAATCATAGAATAAAGCAAAGCACAGATATTGTAATCTCGGGTAATTCCACGACCCAACTGAACGTTGCTTTGTCACCGTGCTCCTGTTTTCTCCAACAGAAGATACTCTCCTGGTCGTGACCGCTGACCATTCTCACGTGTTTTCCATAGCTGGTTACGCTAAACGTGGCAATCCAATCTTTGACCTGGTGGTTGAAGTTGGCGAGACTACTCCCATCTTAGCAAAGGACAAACTTCCTTATACGGTCTTGGGTTATGCAAATGAGCCCGGAGGAGAGCGGATAAATGGTACACGACAAGACCTCACGAAGGTGGACACGGGCGACAAGGACTTCGAGCAGCAAGCCACGGTGTGGTTAGACTCGGAAACTCACGGAGGAGATGACGTAGGTATGTTTAAACACTACATTCGTTGAAGCTTTTCATTTCTAGAAACGGCCAAAAATTGATTTGTTATCATTTTTTAGGCTAACGTTACTTGATCGTTCTCTTAACATTATTTTGTTTAAAGTCGTACACTTTTGCAATCAGTAGAAGCTTTTGAATGGAATTTTCGCAGGTATTCTAGGACGTAGTTTGAATTGCAATTTGGTAGAGCACTTGGCCAAACTGTCCGAGCGTAATTCATAAAACTGATATTAATTCGAAACAAACTCAATAAATCCAGTAACAAAGCAATCATCGGACTCGGTCATTGGGAAGTGCCATGATCTATCAGTGTCTCACAGATCTATTATTACTGACTTAGCCTTCTGTTTCGGGGAATAATCTATATGCTCGTCACTGAAAAACTACGATATTTTGCTCAACTTCCTCATTTATGGTTAGTTCTTGTTGTTCGTCAATAAATTGTGGAGTATACGAGCGTATGAGCGTACAGAAAATAATAACCAGCACAAATTGTTTCATTTTAACACCAAATTTATAGTGCAAAATAAATACATTTATGGCAGATAGCAAGAAGTAATATCAGACCCTGGCATGAGAAGGGTCAATCTAACCTGAAACCCACACGCTTGGAAAGGCTGATCTTTTCAAAGTATGTTTAAAGCCTCCCTTCTGTTGCAGACTGTATTAGTAGGAGTTAAATCTCATATTTACCACAGGTATATATGCAGACGGTCCGGGAGCCTACTTATTCCACGGTGTTGTGGAACAGCCGTATATATTTCACGTGATGGACCATGCTATGTGTTTAAGTGATAGCAAATGGGATATGTGTGATAGACATCCAGCAAGGGAGTGACGGAACTGTAGAGCACATTTCAGCTGACTGTCGTAAGGGAACTACAAGCAGTGTCATCAAAATGACTGATCACAACAGATGAACACAAAGAGCTTATGAAAACTGAAACTGGCAAATTGCCTGACGCGAGTAAGTGACTCAATCCTTAATTAATTTGATGGCCTGCTCCCAGTTGGCTTGTTAGCTCAATTGGTAGAGCGCTGCACTAGTATCGCAGAGGTCAGTGGTTCGAATCCCGTACAGGCCTGAATTTTTTCAGGTCTGATTTTCGCTATTGCTTAAATAGTGCTTTACTGCGAAGGATCGTGCACATATATGACTCAATCCTGTTTGTTTTAGTTCTCAAAGTGATTGGTCGAGAGGACAGCCAGTTTTCTAGTCCAATCAGAGGGCAAAGTAAAAAAAAAAAAAAAAAAAGCCAACTAAATTTGACATTCATTTGAATTTTGCCCTCTCTGACGAGTGTCACCTTCAATGTGCAGTCAGTTTTCATTTCGAAAAAAAACATGAATGTTTACGAATTTTATCTGAAGTTTCAAGTAGAAATTCTGTTTTATGTTCAATACCTTATAAAATAAATGAATGAACTCTGATGTCTAACCCAGCCAACTAATTATAAGTCCCTGCTGGAACCATGGTGAAGCGACAGCATGCTGGTAAAATTGAGGATTTATAACAACTTTTAAGCCTATTATTGAGGTCATATGCCATGGAAATGTAAGTATATATAGTTGCATCTTCCAAAAAGTTTTGAATTTATGATTTAAAAAAAAACTGAGACAAGAAACTTTTCCCATTGTCGAGCTTTATTCATGATGTGGTATTCTGGACTACAAAAGCAAAGCCAAAGGTTAATTTATAACTATTGTAAAAACATAGTTCAACTTCAGACCTCAATTAGCTTTGGAAAACGTCTATAACCCGTTGATAGTCCTGAATGTACACTAATGAACATTAAGATAACTACTGACAGTTGTCGCAATTATTGCAAAAAAAAAAGTAGGATCATTGTAGATCTTGACTAGCTTCAGAAAAACCTCGAATTTAACCTTACAATAGTTCTGAATTTGAAATTGCCAAAAAAATGAGATGATTGCATACTGGAAGGACTGAGAATTGACGCAATTATGGCAAAAATATAGTCTCACCGCAGATCTTGATTAGCCCTGAAAAACTTCGTTTATAACCCCTTTATAACCCTGAATTTAAACTATACACAAAGTGTGAAATATCTGTTTACAAGAAAGAAGTTCCCTAACCCATCGGCCCATTGACTTTCAAATAAATAAATACCGGGTAAGTTGTATATGGTTTGTGCACCCGCTAAAACTTTCGTTTTATTATTCCTCAATATTCCTCAATTTAAACTATTTAAACCTAACTGAAACGCCGTCCTGATATCTAAGTATATTGGTGGCTGATTTAGTAAGCTGGATGGAGTCCATACACCCAATGATGATTTCGGGCACAACACCCTACCCAGTGTTTGCAATGGTGTCTTTCATCCACTGAAGAACGACTCGCACATCAGCCTGGAGATAGAATCGGTTTACTTTTTTTGTACAGGCATCCTTTCCATAACTGTGAATCCCCTCTAGGTACCACCTTCCACCTTCCTCGCGAACCACAGGGCCACCAGAGTCCCCGAAACAGTTTCCTTCGCCCCACGATGTAGAGTTGGTGTAAAACGCTGCTTCTCTTTGCTGAAATAAATCATATGAAAAATTCACAAACAAATACGGTTTAACTTGAAACGGAGAAGAGGTAAGCGAGAAGTATTCGTCAGTGTTATTATCCAGTGCAAGAAAAGCCTAGATACTTGTTGTAAAAGCTTAACTTAAGATTCCAATAAAAAATCTCAACTTATATTTGGAAATGCGCATAAAAATGGTTCTCAACTCCCATTTTCTGTTTTTCGTCCGTGTTCTTAATTCTGCGTTCTTGGTTTCGCCCTGCGATCCAATTCCCTTCCCTCTCTTTTGAAGTATCTGCGCTGAGGAAGTGGCTCTATACGCCGGTGTCAGCCCTTTAACTCCCAGAAGTGATTAAACTGTAACTTCTCCCCTTTAGTACCCATACATTATCCAGCAAACAAGTGATAAGAATATTCAAACGTATCAGGAAGAAGTTATTACCTTGATCTAACACCAAATTATTGTAACCAATATACAAGAAAATGTGTAGCAGCTAGAAGGGAGAATTCATATTCAGATCTCATAAGTGAGAAAGGGATGATATTGTGCATCGTTCAGGGGGGTGTCCCAGTAGGAAATGAGAAAAGCATACCTTCTAAGCCCTTAAACCGCCTCGAAAGTAAACACGTGAGAACTAAAAGGTAGCTGTTGAAGAGTCGTCCTCATAGCCCCTTTCTCTCCCCCCCCCCCCCCATTCCTCAATGAAAAAAAGTGAGAGTTATTTCAGTGCAGAAAATTGAAAATTAAGAAGTCTAGTGACACTTATGAAGGTACAGAACAAAGTTTCGTCTGGTCATTACGAGGACACTCCACTAATTTTGGATGAAACATCCAGGTTGAACGAATGAATGATTACTTTATTGCAACTCCCTAAAAAGGGTTTTTCAGTCACAAGGCTACTAAACAGCTAAAATAACTAAATAATTTACTAAATAATTGATATAATGAATAACGTTAAAATCGGTTCGAGCCCTAAAAAGGATTATTGTGTTGTGTTCTTAGGCAAGACATTTAACTTTCAAAATAACTTTGCCCATGCAGTAGTATAACTGTGTACCAGCGAGCGCTCAGGGTTACTCGATGCATTGCTCTGTGTCAGAGACTGCCATAGGCTGACATCCCACCTTCTCACCACACACACACAAAAAGACATATATGCACACTTCCATTCCTAGCCTAGCCTGGGAGCAGTCCTTCACTAGTAGCTCTGAATGACGCGTGTTTTTCCGCCCACAGGAAGACTGGGGACGAGTTCGGACCCCCGAACCCATTAGAGGTTTCACGGGGGTCTGGCACTAATAATTGCTAGACTTTTGCAGATTTGCTTTGCCCCAGGCCTCATATTTTCCCGCGGGCGTAGAAAGGCTCGCGACGAAGCGCTAAAAAAAAAAAAAAGAAAGAGAGCCTACTCCATGCTACCTTTAATTTGGCACCTACAATTTCCGGCTGTGACGCGACTTCAACGTGGACTTCTTTTAGCACATTCGACGAAAGGCCATTGATCTCAGTCCTGCCCCAGCCAGTTTCCCAAAGGATTGTGCCGACCGGCAATCTCGTGGTGGATTTGGGCAAGCAGACAGTTCCCACGTGATCGTTTAAGGCTACGGGATACTTCAGCTTTAACAACGCAAAGTCATAATTGAGCGGTTTGCGGGTGAAGTTGAGATGTCTGACGATCAGGTCGACACAGTGCCTCTGCTCTTCGCAGCTTTCAACGTAACGATGGTGTTTCCCAAGTCTGATGGAGCACACAGTTAACGTTAACCCTTTCACTACCAAGATCTCAATACAAATTCTCCTCACTGTCTGCCAAACAATTCTCATGATGTTACTTTGGAGAATTTGGTGTTTGGTCGATCAATTATATTATGCCCTGATTGATATTCTTCTTTATTCTCATTACTTGCCCTCCTGATATTGTATCTATGTTGTAAGGAGAAATTCTGTCTTGGTCGCTCATAGAGGTTAGAGGGTTTGGGGCAACGATGCAACGATGCAAGTCCAAGGGAAGCTCAGAGTAACTTCACCTAATATAGATTGCAAAGAGTTTCTCTTTGTTTCATTAGAAGAACGATTAACGAAGAAATAAACTTACTGAGTGTTGAAAATACTCCGGGATTATTTTTCCTTAAGGTCATTATACCCTATGATTTGTATAGAAAACTGGCATCAACTTCGACATATGCAGTGCAAAGGGGAAAATAGCAATTTACTCACTCGCGTTTTTATCGGTTGATTGTTTGTTATGGTTGCTCTGCTTTGAGTCTTGCGACGCGAAATCAACGTTTACTCTAACAAATAAGAGGAACTTTTTACTGTTTAACAGAGTCTAAACTCTAAGACTACGAATAGATTTTAATTCACTCACGATATTTCCAGATCTCCAGGATTGACGCCTGTACAGTGGGCAGCAGTAAGCACCCATTGAGGAGTCAAAAGAGAGCCACTGCAATGCCAAGTGCGCATGCCTATTTTCTTGAGAAGCTGGGCATGCCAGCGCCATTCCTCTGGACCAGAAATGCTTCTTTTGTTGTTTTCACCGGGCATTTTCACACCGCAACCTCTTAGTTCTGCCGGTAGAAATGAACAAGGCTTGAAAAGTTTTTAGCTCCCACTATCTTAATTTTTGATCAGGGGTGGACTTGTGAACGGCAAAGAGAGGTTCTGATGCCAGCATGTATTCAATTGACGATACAAATCATTTCAAATTTCTTTTCACTTTCTTCATTAAACATTTCAAGTGGCGTCAACTTTGTTTTCTGACTTAGCTACATATTTTAAACCTCTTAATATAGATATCAAGGTGTGATAATCACTCGATTCTTCTCTTGCAATTGCTATATGTTAACCGATAAAAATAGAACTGTATTTAATTTGAAATATTGTAGGGGTTTCCTTATATTGGTGATGGGAAAAAGGAATGGAAATATTATATCACTTTAAGCCATTTAATGCAAAAATTATAATAAGCAGGTTGATCATTTCTTATTCCTTTTGGCGGTCTCATCTAAGTACAATTTCTTTCACATTTTTCTTATTGTGGTTTTGAATTTAACATGGAAGCAGATGTTCAATTTCTACGGTGATTAGGACTTGTTGTAGTATATTCGCGGTAAGCTATGTTTTCAATGATGTCAATCTGCTAGTTAAGGAAGAGAATAAACCTCTCTGGTAAAAGTTAAGCTCGTACAGGAATTCTTGGAAACTCCTGCTTCTTATACTTTTAGTTATTCTTAGACTCGTTTTTTGGAACAAATTCTATGTCAAATTCACGATCAAGGAATATTTCTTAAATTTCAGTTTAACACCGTCAACACCTCTTTCTTTAAGGCGACCTTTATTATAAGTGTAAACAGCTTATGCCTTTTTCATCTTTCGCACTGAATTTTTGTATTATAGATAACCTGCGTAAGAGCACGTAGCATTTCTGGGAGCGGTACTCGTGAACGCCCCTTCTTCTCCGAATTTTCTGTTTATTTTGTTTTCAAGTATAATCCTAATTCTGCCGATAGGTTAATTATAATTTTTATATTATCAATCTTGTTTCTGTTCTGGCCGATCTTATCCGTAAAAGTATAAAATTTAAGGTAGAAAATGATTTTGTAACTGCGTAAACAACTCGAAGACGCATACCTAGTATGCAGGAACTGTTGTACCTAACTTAGCATGATTCGCTGGTTGAGATCGAACGATAACGATAACGATAACGATGCAGGAAGACTGAAGTTTAGTAGTCGGTCACCTTTAGCATCATCTGGTGCACAACATTTTCAATCAAAACAGAATATAAGTTGAACTGTATAGAGTTGAGTTAAAAACTGAGCTAGTCCCAAGAAAAAGGAAAGTGTATTAAGAGTTCAAGCCAAGAAATAGAAGAGTTTCAACCGAGTGTTAGAGAAATCTTCTAACATATATATCTACTGTCATAACCCACCCATTAATTTAGTCCGCGTCTTTATTTGTCCTCCGATTTTTTCCGTGAAAAAGAAACATAGTCAACACAAGAGTTTCAACTTTTCCGTTCTCCTATTCACATGGAAGGAAACCAAACTACTTTTTTTTTTTTTTGCTTGCTTGCGTCAATCACGCGCATTCGCCATCAGATCACCACTGGCTTTTTTACTGTGTTTACGCGCAGTTTAATTGCAATGTGAAAATTAATGGAAGAGCCATTTTACTCCAACTTTTGCTTGTTTCCTTTGTCTCCGTGCCCAGTAAACGTTGCTCAGAAAATGCAGCTTAGATGCGATTAAATATTATTTAGTTAGTGGAAAACATAAAAATATTTATGTGTAAATGCGTACAAGGAAAGAAAGAATATTGGAATATTAGGTTAAGATCGTTTTCTTATAAACTAATGTGTGTTTATCAAATGTGTTGCTTGGCAGACAAGGTTGTCTTACACTTCGAATTCTGCAGCCGAAAAGGCAAAATTCATTGCTTTGGTTGGAACTACCGTGATCATGTAGTATGTTTTTATGCAGAAATTATTTGGGGTAAGAAAAAAATGAGAAATAGATCTGGCCTGATGTAATAATTTTTACTTAGATTTTGGTTACCTCGTTTAACTTCTGCGGCTTTTCCTTTCACTGAAGAGACATTTTTGCATAACAGCAATACAACACAAATTAGGCGCAGAAGCGTAGAATTTAGAGAGCGTGTCATATCGCTATCCTGTAAAGGAGCTGAAACAAACGCCAAGTCTTAAGCATAGAAACCTAGCCTCATGTGCTCTTATCTCTGTAGGGCTACAGTAAACACCTAATTTATACCTAAACAAAAGATATGGACAAATACCCTTGAGAAACCTAGCGACCCAGAAAACTGGAATCCGATTATTTCTTTTAACAATGGGTTGTTGCTACGTTTTAAACACTGCACTTAAAGGTGCACTTTAGCTTGAAAACGCTCTTTTTCATTCATTGAAAAGATATATTGCCTAAGAAAAATATCGGCGTATTTGAAACACAGGACTTTTATTACACAGTATATATAAAGCCTAATTAACTATGTGTGTCTCATTTATCGTGATCGATATTATACGGCCGTTACGGATGTAAAATCTTCTAACTAAAATAACACTTATAAGTGTGATAGCTCTCATAATTACCATATAATGTATTAGATAAAGCAACTGTCGGTCAATGCATGCATGGAAAGTTATCGGTATTCAATAGATGTTCAGTGCTGTTGAAAAAGGTTCAATCAACCTATTGGCTGGAAATGTCCTCATAGCAACGCTATATCCTTTTGCGAAAAAACGCACTCGATCATTCTAAAAATAGCATGGGCATAGATGTACATGTAGTTGTGCGCCAGGCAAAAAACATCGCGGGCCTTTTAAAGGACAAATGGTAAATTGGCCACCCTAACGAATACAAAAGCTGACGTTTCGAGCGTTAGCCCTTCGTCGGAGCGAATAGAGGAATTGTGGGTTGTGTGTGCTTTTAAAGGCAGAAAATGGAGCTTCGTTATTGGTGGGAACATGACAACGAGAAAAACAAGAATAAATMAGTGGACATAAATTAGTGGAATAAATTAAAGGACAGTTAGACATCTTTCGCTACTCCTGGCGCGTTTATCTGAACATGGTTCTTTGTGGACTTCGCCGTACTACGTTACGGTGCATAAGCTGACAAAGCTAAATGCAGATTCAAAGGCATTTAGCTGTATCACGAGGAAAACTCTCACGAAAGAGGAAACACGCCGGAGGACTTTTCGAATGTGCTTCTTTGTCAAACACACGCTTGTACTCGGTTAGATCGAGTTTATTCTAGTGACGGAAAAATTCTGACGTCAGATTTAGGTTGAACTGGCCAGTCTTCATCCAGAGCAGATATGTTAACAGGTGATCTAGTAATTATACGAAATGACCTTAATCAAAATAATGATTCGGAGTTCATTTAAGTAAAGAGAAAATTCCATCGAGCATTTTTCATCAGTAACACGTACTTCGTAAAATTAGATCCCTTTTATCAAAGACGTGAGCTAGTTCTCGACTAAACGGAATTATGTTGAATATTGAGACACATCTATACAGTGAGGCAATAAGTATGGATTACATATGTCTGAGGCACTGAGAGCCACAAAGAAAACTATACTACTCCTCCACACGTAATGTACTCTAAGAAACACTTCAATTCACGCGCAAATATAGAATACCAAAACTCCCATAATTTTGATCTTGGTTACTTAGAATTACTAGCAATCAATATATTTGTCCAATAACCAGTTGAGAGTAAATTACATCATGCAAGCTACCTCACACGCTCTTATTTAATACAGATGAAATAATGAATTCATGCGCAATTCATACGCAACTGGGAAGGTTATTTCACGACTTTGTTATTTCGCCACGATAGGCTATTCATTATGGGTATGATATAGTAAAAATTGAATTCAAATGGCAAATGAAGACTACCTCTTGAACTGATCTTTGTGAGTCAATGTGAGTCTTTTCGGTTTTATTTTTCTATTCCCGCATGCACAACAAAACATGTTTACGCACACACCATAATAGAGCTCTCATTTTAAGAGCTTTTTATGTTGTGTGCATGCATTACCATTTAGAAAGCTGGTTTTAAGGTTACAGTGGATAGAAATGAAGACAACGCAGAGAAAATCTCAGCCAAGAGTTATTTCATATTTGATATTTGAAAAGCTATGCATGAACGCTTATTTGACAAGTACCAAGACTTAATAGGATACTTAGGAATTGAATAAGCCATTGAAGGTGTCACCACCATCTGTTCAAAACTTGTTGACAGTGTTTTCTGGCTGAGTCAAGAGTCTCTGAACGATGAAATATTTGATTCTAGTGCTTTTTTTTTCTTAGCAGGTAAGCTCCTTTCTTCGGAGAAGGAGACTTCCTTGACTTCTGCAGCCATGATTTTAGTTGGGCAATCTCATCCAACATTTTATTAATGGTGATACACGCAGGAACTGTGGTGTTGCGTGGGTGGTATTTCAAGATAATTTGGTTTTATTATGATGAGTTGTTAAGTGTAAATTGGCCATCGAAAAAACAGATAAGATAAGATAAAAACTTTATTAACGTGTCGGGTAGATCTAGCTTAGATTTACGTAAACTAATTGTGGACAGCTAACTAATAGTAAATTAAAATACTATGAATATATGAAGTTCATATATTTGAACTGCGGTTATAGATACGTATGATGCACGATCCTCGCAGTAGATAGCGCGATGTATGCAATAGCGAAAATCAGACCTGAAAAAAAAAAATCAGGCTTGTACGGGATTCGAACCACTGACCTCTGCGATACTAGTGCAGCGCTCTACCAATTGAGCTAACAAGCCAACTGGGAGCAGGCCGTTAAGTTGATTCATAATAAACCCGTGATGATAAATCAGATACGATGAATATATGAAGTTCATATATTTTGAACTGCGGTTATAGNAGCTAATAAACCCGTGATGATAAATCAGATACGATGAATATATGAAGTTCATATATTTTGAACTGCGGTTATAGATACGTATGATGCACGATCCTCGCAGTAGAGAGCGCTATTTATGCAATAGCGAA